GTAGATTTGTGAAATACATTCCATGTTTGAAAAGCCATTGCTACATTTATATTGTATATGTATGTAATCGTTCCTGCCTTTAAATGTATGTTGACGTTCATTATATTTTTTGTAAAAATGTATTTTTGCCATGATTTTATTTGTCACGTCCTTCACTCTTACTCTAAATCGCCTTAAAAAGATGAGTAAAGTCTAACATATTTCAGATCCCTTCGTACAAATCTATCAGGTTGATAGTGTTCAACAATAAGAATTTAATCGATTTGTTTCTATTGATATTAACTAATTACATTATCGAACATTTTAAATATTATTTGAATCTTGTAGACCATAACCTTTAACCATAAATATGCACTCATAAGAACAATATTATGCATGGTATCACTTCTTGTCATCATCTTTCATTTTTTGAAAGTCCGTTTCTATCATCTACTTACTTTATATTGAACATTATTTTTGTTTTAGAGATTGTTCGTGCATTCACTCAAGTAATCAATATGAATATGGCATTTTATTGGGGTACATCGCGATGGTCACCAATGGAGATAATGGTAGTTTAAAAATATATTTTTAATGTTTTCTATTTATATAATTTGTAGAACCTTTTTTTTAAGGAAGCCTATTCTGTTGCGAGACAATTCAATTTAATACCACCAATATGTGAACAAGCTGAATATCATTTATTTCAACGTGATAAAGTTGAAATTCATCTACCAGAAATTTTTAGTAAAATAGGTAGATACCATTTTTAATTAATCATAACTAGCATTCATTTCCAAATATATACTTCATTAAAAATAAATATATTTTTCTTTTTGTTGAAGGTATTGGAACGATGACATGGAGTCCATTGGCATGCGGTCTATTATCAGGAAAATATGATGATGGTGTACCACTACACTCTCGAGCTTCATTAAAAGTAAAAGAGTGATTGTGTAGTATAAGATTAGAAACATTGGATATATTTTTATCTAAGGGTTATGCCTGGTTAAAAGATAAAATTTTAAATGAAGAAGGACGAAAACAGCAAGGAAAACTACGTGAATTAGCACTTATTGCTTCTAAATTAGATTGCACACTTGCACAGTTGGCCATTGGTAAGTAATTTTATTTTGGTATACAATCTTTATCAAATTTAATAATTTTATTTCTTGTAGCCTGGTGTTTGAAAAATGATAATGTTCATTGTGTTCTACTTGGTGCATCGTCTGTTGAACAATTGTATGAAAATTTGAATTCTGTACAAGTAAATAGTGGATCATTACGAGAATATAACTGTGAAGGGCATCAGTGAACTAAATGTTAACTTACACATTGAATTTTTCAAAATACACAGACGAAACGAGAAAATTCATCTGTTAAAATTAAATAATTTTAATCATTCATCTTTTAAAAACTGAAGACCGACACAATGATTAAATAAGTACAAATTTTCTCAAGTGTTTGTTGGTTATTTTTAGGTTGTACCGAAGTTAAATCCAACCATCTTGACTGATATCGATCGCATACTTGGAAATAAGCCTGTAAGACATGTATCAAAAGGTGAAACATTACAACGTTAATCAATACCGTTTGTTCGATTGTAAAAAAAAAGTCTTTAATAAACAAAAAATTCATGCTCAATTACTCAACATTCTTTCTAAAGTTGTGGGTAGGTGTAGCATTGATTGTATAGGATTTGATGTTTGGCGCTGTGATTCATTTTTCTTTTCTTATGTTTCCTATTTACTATCTATTTCTTTATTCTCTTCACAAAAAACTGTTTTTTTCTTTTTCATTTTCATTTTTTTTTTTTTATGAAAATTTAATGATGTTTAGAAATGGATTGATTGATGTATCGCAATAGCTCGTATATATTTATTTTTTCTCGGTGTAGTAGCATAGATTTTGTTGTACGTTTTATTTTGTGTTTTACACTTAAAATTTTTCAAGATGATTAAAACGCACGAAAATCAAACTCAGCATCAATTCACAGCTTTAGTCACTGTATTTTCAAGAAAAATGATTCTACACATGATGCTTGTGTATTTATGACTTCAATAATAAACTCATCTCATATCTTTTCGGAGAAACTAAAAAAATTTTTCATCTCATCAGAACCAGACAAAATATATTTATAAAAAACAAACACAAAAGAAACTCCGGCTATGTACAAGTCCAACTCCGTTAAGAAGTCTGAACTCCAACTCCGTTTCAACTCCGAGTTAAAATATATATTTTGAATCTTTATTAACTAATGCATCAGTTATTTTTAGTTGCAGTAAATTGTCATTATTATTTGGTTTTAACGATTCTGTCCAACATGTAAATTCTTTTAAATGACGTCGTTGCATGTCGCGAGAATAATTAGATGTTACACCAACTTTATGTTTCACAATTTCTTTGCATAATGAACAATCAGCAGTTGTTTGACTATCGCCTTCTCTTATATTTAATACTAAAATTACTTATATTTAATACTCTTATAGTTAATATAAAACTCTCGAACCTAATAAAAATTCTCGAAACATGTTTTTGGAGTCTCAATAAAAAATACAATTTTTTGTGTATGGGACTCCCACGGGAATTTTTGTGGAGTCCTGCAGGACTCTCTATGGACTTTTTGAGAAAAAAACTCCCGCGGGAGTCCCGATGGAGTTCCACGGGACTCCCGCGGGACTTCTGCCGGGAGTCTCGATTAGGGGTAGTTATTG